CACGCACGCACACACACACACACACACACACACACACACACACACACACACACACACACACACACACACACACACGGACTTCATACCAAGAGCATATCCAGTACATGCTCCAGGCACCTATACTCACACTTTTGACATTGAAGTGCTGGATGTTGGCGAGGTAGGTGGGCATCTCCGTCAAGAGGGTGTAGAAGCCAAAACTCCCGCCGAAGGCCATGATGGCGCTGGACCACATCGGCGGCGACGTCACCATCGCTTTCCAGGGGATCGGCACTCTCTGAAAAGCGGCGATTTATCAGCTCGATAAAGAATTTGAATGGTTTCTCATGTCTTTTAATTTTAGGCGACGATGAATTTCATCAGCTGGATATTCTGATTGCGTTAAAAATATTCGGGCATCAGCGAAAAAAAATACAAAAAGTGATCTTCAGGAAAATGATTAGCTCTGGGAAGCCACGTTACCTCCACGCCTTTGACGGTGTCCTGCTGCCCCTGAATATAATCAAGTTCCTGTTTAGAGATCCTGGGGTGTCCTTCGGGTCGGTCGTGAATGAGGAGGAACCAAGGAACCCCCCACGCTAACCCCACGCCCCCGAAGACGTAGAAGACCGAGGGCCAACCCCCCAGGAACCCCGAGTTACACAGCCAGCCGCTCAAGGTTAGGCCAATGATGGTGCCGAACTGCATTCCTGAAAGTGGGTTTTTATTGTCTTTTACTAACTTTATGTCTGTCTTTAAATTGGGTAAAATCTCAAAATAGTAAAATGTACGGTATGGGGTAATGGTAAATAATCTATTAATGCTTCTGAACGGGTTCGGATTATGCAAAAATCATATCAATTCTCAAATCATTTCACAGAATAATTTTTTGTGTGTGCATTTCCCCTATGATGCAAGCGTCAGATACACATTAATTGGATTGCGAACGAAGTAAAAATGATAAACCATATTTGATATTTAAACTTGTTAGCATGTCTACCTATAAAACATTTCTTCATCGTTGTATAAAGCAACTGTACACACAGAGGAGCAAAATATATTTTCAGACTTAAAAGGACTGTATAATGAAAACGAAAGAACTCGCCTCCATAAACGAAGGACCCGAGTTTGGCTCTTTCTTCAGGGGGAAACCAGGTAGCCATCAAGGAATTTAGAGCCGGAAATGTAACTCCCTTTGAAAGATTAGAAAAAAGAATTAGGAGGTTAGATGTAAAACTGGTGTCAGACTTAGAAATGACAAGACTAGAAATGGTTCAAGCTTGCATCTGGTATCTTGTCAATGTTTGGAAATGAAGTAATCAGATATTGTTGTTTGTCCTTCACGCCTGCCTCTCCCGTTTTCTCTCTTCCTTTTACTTCCCCTTCCGTAAAGCCAAGAGTCACCCTTTACCTGCGAAACCCCAGTCAGGACTCTCGAAGCCACGAAGAGTCCTGTGGAAATTCTCGCGCACAGAGGCGAGAGGAGGGCGAGGAGCGAGGCCAGGCCCGAACCGAGGCCGAAGACCAGCCTCCCTCCGAGGTACTCCGCCAGGCGCCCTCCGAGAAAGTTGGTGGCCGTGTACCCGTAGAAGAAGGCGCCGAGGATCAGGCCCTGCGTCTCCTCGTCCCAGGCGAACTCCCCCTCCTGAGGTCAAGGGTCAAGGGTTGGGGTTGGGTTGGGGAAGGTCGTTGATGGTGAGGGGTGGGCACATGCGTAAACTTACACTCACACATAGTCATAACGAATTTAATAATACGGTTGAATGACTTCTCCCAGTCACGAACACTCACCACATGGTTCCCTCCCGGGTCTGTGCCATTATCTCTGACAGGACACACATCCAGGGAGGCGTTGGTCGTGGCGTTGACCTCGCTCGTGCCCGCCATGGCCACGATGGCGATGGAGAGGTTCACGCGCAGCGAATACTCGACGGCGAGACCCAGGAACCCCAACAGAGCGAGTGTGTGGCGGGCGGCCCAGCACTCCCCTTCTAATTACAGCTGTTTATCTGCTTGTCTATCTACCTATATTTATCTGTTTATTTATCAATCTGTCTATTTTAGTATATAATAATATCAAATGATTTTTCATCTCATTGTCATCTTTTTCTTCATCAGCGAGCATTTCAAAGGCGACGATAAAAATGCAATATAATAAATATAGCACTAATAACAATTCATACTTCCTTCCGGTCCCGGCTGCGCGTCCCTCCCCGGGCTTCGTCCTTCCTCGTGCTCGCAGTCCAGCCGGGAAGTCATGGTATAGCCGCTGGGTCCTAGCGTTTTAAAAGCCTGCGGATTTAAAGCAATCGAGAGAGACAGATAGATAGATAGATAGATAGATAGATATAGATAGATAGAGATAGATAGATAGATAGATAGATAGATAGATAGATAGATAGATAGATAGATAGATAGATAGATAGATAGATAGATAGATAGATTAGATAGATAGATAGATAGATAGATAGATAGATAGATAGATAGATTAGATAGATAGATAGATAGATAGATAGATAGA